GGACACGCTGCGTGTGAGTGAGATACACGGCGGGCGGGGAAGGGAGGCGCTGCCTGTGCGTGGGGAAAGGGCGGGACGGCACTGCCAGCATCGCTCCCGCCGTGGGAGGTGTTAAGGAGGTTCCCGAAAGTCCTTCTTCTCGCCTGTCCGGCAGGATATCCCTCAGTTGGAAAGCTGTGGCAGGCCTAGCCAGAGCAGTGTACGAAAGGGGCGTTGTGATGCTCCTCTCCCTCGTTGCGTTTTAGCAGGCTGCCCGGTAAAGGAAAATGTAGTCGTGTCATAATGTAAAGGGGCGATTATCTTAGCTGTGTTACCTATAGCCTCTTAATCGAGTTAAATAGATTGTGCCTATGTTTGAGAAAAACAGACTGCAGCTGTATATCCTGTTCTCTGAACATCTGTGATGTTCACGTAATCTTATATGCAGCTTCCACTGTTACTTTTAGTGATATTAGGAGACAGCTAACAAAAAACAGGCCTACTTTTAATTCAGTGAAACTTGTTAAAAATGCCTTTTTTTTTTTAATTAACATGGACTGTTGGGTAAAATGTTACTTGGTAGGATTGTCTTAAGCCATTAAAAAGTTTACTTGAGTTCTTACACTGGTAATTGGAAATTTCTTACTATTGGAGATGATGATTACAAGAAACAAAGGGTGTTGGACACAGCTTCTTTATGTAGGTGCTTAGATGAGCCAGCCCAGGTGATGCTTTCCTGAATCTACTTCTCATAAACAGGGAAGTCAAGGATGTGGTAATCATCAACAGCCTTGACTAACCATGGAATAGTGGAGTTCGACACCCTGAGTGTAGTGAGGAAGGCAAGTAGCAGAATACAGAACCTGGACTCCAATTTATTCAGGCTTCAGGACACCAGTTCATTCGGGCAACAGGTAGCTGAAAATTTGAGGGAGGCAACTTTGAAAATTGGAGAAGCTGAAGAGGTGGAGGTCTGTAAGGACATTGTACAAGTACAGGGACATTCCATGCTGATACTCATGAAAACAAGTAAATGTGTTGAGGGACGATCATAGCTGTGCCTGCACTCTGAAGATGGGGTGCAAAAGGAACATGTGCAGGAGGTGGAATGAAGAACAGGCTATAAAGGAGAAGGATAAAAAAAATTTGTCTGGACCTGTAGGTATGATGCTAGGAAAGCGAAAGTTCTAATGTTGAAACTAGCGAGCAATGTCAAGGGTGACAAGAAGAACTTTTGCTGCTACATTAGTGGTAAAGTGGGAGGAAGGAGGTGTGTGAACCTGCTGCTAAACGGGGCAGGTGATTTAGGAAGAGTAGACACAGATGAGGCTGAAGTACTTAGCCTTCTTGCATGGGTCTTCAGAACTGATGTCCCCTAGGCTTTGTGTCTAAGAGACAGGATTCAAGGAGAGGAATAACCGGCAATGGAAAAGTGTCATGTTGGTAATCTCTTAAGTTATCTCAACCCATACAAGTCCATATGAGCCACTTGGGGTACATCCTGAGAGAGCTGGCTGATGTCATTGTGAGGTTGCTATCTTATCATCTTTGTGATGTTGTGGAGGTCACCTACAGCTTAGCCTCGCTTCAGTCCCTTGGAAAATCAGGAAGCAAGTTCTCTTGGAAGCTGTTTATTTCTAGGTACGTGAAGGAGGCAATTGGGAATAGCAAACATGATTATACTTGCAAACTGATTACTTTGGGTGATGAAATGACCAGATCTGTTGATCCAGAGCCTTAGCTGTCATCTACATTAGTTTTAGCAGGACTTTTGAAATGGTCTCCTGCAGCATCTTGCTTTTTGAGCTGGGATGTTACAGATTGTAAACTACTAGATGAGTATAAAAAAAACCAACCAAAAAAAAAAAAAAAAACAAACCAAAAAAAACCAAAACACAACTGTCTGGATTGTCAGGCTCAAAGACAAGTAGTTAATGGTTCATACTTTACCTGAAAGTGAATTACAAGTGGAGTTCCTCAGGAGTCTATCCTGGGACCTGTCCTGTTGATAGGAGGAGGATGTGGGATGCACCCTCATGATGTTTATGGGTGGAGAAGGTGTCATAGACAGCTAGGAATAGGCTGGGGAATGGTTCATCAGACACCTCAAACTTCAAACAAGGAAGCTGAAAATTTGAGTGTGAAGTCCTGCACCTGGGCCTATACCCTGCAGTGGTACAGGCTGAAGGACCACCTTGCTGAAAGAACCTGGAGGTCCTGATGGACAGTGGGCTAAACCTGTGCCAACACTGTGCCCTGGTATTGAGATGTATGAGGCTGTATTAGCAGAGCACAGCCAGCAAAACAAGGGAACTCATTATTCTCTGCTTGGCACGTATCAGGCTGCTCCTGGAATGCTGTGTCTGTTTTAGGCCCACCAGTACAGGAAGGCTGTTGATAAACTGCTGAGGGAGCTTGTTAGGCCACAGCAGCCCTTCAGTACTTGCAGGGAAGTTAACACCAAGCTGGCACCAGACACTTCACAGCCTCGCATGATGGGATGCTGAAAGGAAATAGCTGTGAATTGAAACAAAAGAAGCAGGAGAGGTTGCAACTTGATGTCAAGTGAAACTTTTTTGCTGTGAGGATGGGCAAGCAGTGGAATGGGATCCCCAGAGAGGTGTAGCCTCCATCCCTTTAAATTTTCAAGATACACTGAGATAAAACCTTGAGTTAGCTGCTATGATCTAATGGCTGTTCCTGTTTGGAGTTGGAGGTGGGACCAGAGACCTTCTCAGATCTCTTTGAACTGGAATGAGTCTGAATTTTAAAATACTCCTTTTGTTAAATTGGGATGAGGGGTGGAATGAAGTATCTACTTAGGCTTATCATGTCTGTTTCTAGGCCAGAGCAGACTCTGCTGCCAGTTAGGAAGTCTACTACAGAATAATTGTCATGCTGTATAATAGTAGCGTATCTTCAATATGTGAGCTGTTACATGGAACAGTTGAAGCTTGCATTTGTAGAGTTTATACGGGTATCTGTGTTGTGACCATTGCCTGAGCATGAGGGAGTTTGGTGGTGTTTCCTGCTTCCCAAGACAGAGGGAGATGTGCTGAGATTAGGGCTGAAGATTGTTGCAGGGATTAATGAGCACGTATCCCTTCTATCCAGTGACACTCCTACACTCTGAGTTGTCAGTACCCTGATGGCTGTAGCATCTAGACTTGATTTGGGGATTTCTGCTGGAGAAGGTTCCTGTGTAGATAGCATTTTATGTCAGTTATATATTTTGTTTGTATGTTTTTTTTTCCCCAGCCACCAATGATCAACCTGAATGTGGATGATGAGGTACAGTTTGTGAGAAGTAAGTTGCTGTGTTCCATGTCTGAAGAGTATTCTTGAAGTATTTCATGCTTTTTTACAATACTGAGTACATGCTGTAAACAAATGAGAAATAGTTAACTATATAATATAGGCAGAACAGGAAGAATGCTGCACACTAAATGAAGTAACAGATACAAAGCAACACATTCTTCATAGTTTTTTCCTCTTTAAATCTGCTGCTAGTATGGCTTCCCAGTGCTGTAAAGAAAATAACTTAGGGGAAAAGTGAGTTAGAGAAAACTGGAACATCATGCTGGCAAACATTATTTTTTCAGCTGGTATTAACAAATGTAAATACAAGCTTGAGTGAATTTGCGTTGTTTTGTTTTGTTCTCACCAATTGAATAGTCTCGTGCATCTCTACAGTAACACAGTCCAAAACTGAGTTGTTGAACCTGTCACTTTTATGTTAGAGTCTGCAGTCTTGCAGCCATGGAATGGGTGTGATATACTATGAGTAAAAGTTCTCATTCATCCTGGGAAAAATACTGAAGTACAGTGTTGCCTAGGGAAATTTCCTTACACACGCACCCATGTGCAGGAACACACACGCACACACGTTCCTTTGAAGCATTAGACTGTCAGAAAGCAGTGACACAGTTTGATCAGATATGAAACACCTGGTTTACTTTGCGGGAGAAAAAACCAGTAACAGCAGGATTTGTCAGTCTTTCATCAATTCTAGCATCAGATGAGTGTATGTTTACCATGTCTTTTTTGTGCTTTAAAAATGCATATTTTTTCATGCTTTATGCATACATAAATAACTATATCTAAAGTTAAACAGGCTGTTTATTGGTAACTTTTCAGCTGTTTCTGCGAATATGCTGGTAATGGATACACGTAGGACAGGGATCTCTCTTAAACTTGTGGTGTCCTGGTGTCTGTAGATCTCTGTTGCATTAGTAAGTTAAACAATGGCATCACAGATTCTTTTGTCCTGAGGCCAAATAGTATGACTGGAGTTTGTCCATATATTAAATTCTTGGACTTCACAACAGATTGGTCACATCCAGGCTGAAACAGTCCTTGAAACCAAGCTAACTCCTGAACCATGCCTGAATGTTATTTGGGAGATCAACTGGTTGATCTGGGCTAAAAGGGTGGTGGAGGTGGGGAATTTAACAGTGTCAACTACATAGTTAACCAAAGGTTTCATTGGTATTCATTCAGTAGTTGGAGCTCATGTCCTCCAGACCGTACACTTACACAGCTATTAATATAGCTATTAATAACTGAAGTTATGAATGTTGAAAGCATGAAGATGCATGCTTGCTATTAAGATACAATCAGTGCAAACAAATGAAGGTCTGTGTAGTTAATAGACTTTATATGATGCCACTGCAATGGGGAATTTACCTTTGGTTAACTATGTAGTTGACACTGTTTTCATTGGTATTCATTCAGTAGTTGGAGCTCATGTCCTCCAGACCGTACACTTACACAGCTATTAATATAGCTATTAATAACTGAAGTTATGAATGTTGAAAGCATGAAGATGCATGCTTGCTATTAAGATACAATCAGTGCAAACAAATGAAGGTCTGTGTAGTTAATAGACTTTATATGATGCCACTGCAATGTCAGCATTAATAAGTGTTTTCAGACTTTTATCTTCATTGCTACTTCATCACTATTGTTTTTTTTTTTAAGGAACACTTCATTCTGTTGTGGTAGTTTACCCTAAGTATTCTATCAAAACTTTACAGGAACTCTGAAAGTCAAAAAGCCTCGATTTGATGCATCTCTGGTTTATTTGACCCGAAAATTCATGGATCTTGTCAAAACAGCTCCAGATGGCGTCCTTGATTTAAATGAAGTAGCAACAACTCTTGGAGTACGAAAACGAAGAGTGTATGACATCACCAATGTGTTGGATGGAATCCACTTAATTCAGAAAAGATCTAAGAATCTTATCCAGTGGGTGTGAGTTGGCTTTGAAACGTCTAATTTCTGAAACAATAAAACCCATTGTTGAGTACTGTTTATAACTTTGAGAGTACTTTTAAGCATATTGAATGCCTTTTAATAGATAAAAAGATTTTAAGTTCTTCTGTATCCTTAGGCTGTCTGAATTGCTTACTATATTAACAAGTATCAAGTGCAAAAGCATAATGAAGCATATTTCAGCAAAGGATGCCAGAGTTCCTGGTTGTTTTCTGTTAGTATACTTTGTATTCAATAAACAGGCTTTTATGCGTATCAATGTACTAGACAATTTTCATATTCTTCTAGAGGTTCTAATCTTGACCAAGTTGTTGGAAAAGCACCAGAGCAGCAAAACCTTAAAGATGAACTTTCTGACTTGTCAGCCATGGAAGAAGCTCTGGATGAATTAATCAAGGATTGTGCTCATCAGTTATTTGAACTAACAGATGACAAAGAAAATGCAAAATATCCTTTTAACTCTTGCATTACTTCAGCACGTGGTTTTGGTTTTAAGTACTCAGATAGCTAGTAATAGGTGTAGGCTGATACCACAGGTATGCAGTAATGCTTGATAATGAGTTTTATAACAGGAACTTATTTGTTATTTTATATTAGTGTATACTAGTCATGTGCCCTGCTTTGCCCAGTCTAACCTGTTCTCAGGGACGTGCTACATGTGTGACCTCTCTAATGCAGAAGAATGGAAGTGGGGCAAGAGTCTTAGTACCCCGACCATCACCTTGCTCTCTCCGTTACAGAGTAAAGTTGTCTCAGGGGCAGGTCTTGACCTACCAGTGGGATTGAGTTGCTTAGTGAGATGAAAAAGAGGACCCAAAACAGAGTCCCAGTGGCCTGTTGCCAAGAAGATATAATGGTATGTTGGTTGTGTCCTAATACTGTTCTCTTTTTTTTGGGAGAAGTTCCAGTGCAGTCTTATCTTTCAGATGGGTTTTGATAATAGAAAAGAGATTTCTTTCAATATGACATAAACATTGGATTTTGGCTTTGGTTTACAATAAAATTTTACTTAGCTCCCTTGTCTGGCAGAATGTTAAAGGTCTGTGCTCATCTGAAATAGGCCCATTTTCTGTGTGATATCAGGAAAACTTTTCATTGCACCTTACCTGTTCTAGTTAAGAAAATAATTCTGTAGTTTTCCAGGAAATTATTTATGTGCGTAGTTCTTGCAAAATAAAGGAGTAGTTTCTCAAGGGCAGCATTCTCTCTGCTTTGTAGACTTATGACAGCATCTGTGAAAACTGTTTGTCAAACGTACTTGCTTTTTAATATTGAATATCTATTTTTTAAAAGCTTTTTTCTTCCTAGAAATAAAGAAAAAAGGTTTTCCACTTGTTAGCTAATACTTAATTTTACAAAGCTAGTATTAAAGTAAGCTCAGCTGAACTATTTACCACTTTTCTTAAGTTGGTATTCTGCTTCAACATATCTTAACATCATACTCTTTGCTTCTGCCCATTAGCAAATTACTTTACAGAATCCTTGACCAATGTATACACTAGCTTATGTGACATATCAAGATATCCGTAGCATTCAGGCATTTCAAGAACAGATTGTGATTGCAATCAAAGCTCCAGAGGAAACCAAATTGGAAATACCAATTCCTAAAGAAGTAAGTTTTATACATTTCTGTCTTAAGGGAACAAAAGTTCTCAAATTTGGTTTGGTTTTTTTTTTGTTTTTTTTTTTTTTCAGCAATCAGTAATTTACTTCCAAATTTTTTTCAGGTATAGCAAATATTGGTACTTAGGGATAATAGTCTAAGAAACTTATTTTCAGGTTTTTTTTTGTTTACCTAAACAAACAAGTGGTTTCACTGGTAAAAGGAGCTGGCGCTCATCCTGTGGAGATGAAAAAGGTTTTAGAGGCTTTCTGAAGCAAAAGAAGGCAGGATTTAAAAAGCTGTACTTAAAGAGAAGAGAATCTTCTCTCTGTTGCCCATTAAATTTGATTGGCTCTGTGCCTTGCAATGTCATGTCTGCTGAAGGAAAGCAGTAAAAGTAATATGGTTTAGTTGCTTTGCTGTATTATTAAAGCTGCTATGTGCTTTGATTTGTTTTCTGATCCATAGTATTGACTTGTCAAATTTTAAATTTTGTTACTTTTCCTAAATGTGTGGTAAATCTTAGGTCATGTTACAAAAGGTCAGTAAAAAGGCTAAGATTTGTTAGGTCCATGTTCCTTAAAAATGAAACCTTCTTAGCTTAATGGTGTGTAATAATTGTAGTAACACAATTTTAAATAGTTATGTAACTCCTGTATTTGTTCTGTTCTTAATCTATTGGCTTTAAAATATGTGCAAAAATAGATAACTGGTGTGTAAGATTTGTTCTTTGGTTTATACGCAAGTCGCTGTTTTACAGGATTGCATAGAAGTACATGTGAAGAGCACAAAAGGACCCATTGATGTGTATCTATGTGAGGTGGAACAGGAGAAGCCAGGTGCCAAAACTTTTGAAGATATGGATACTGTCACTTCTGAAACTGAGCCATCAGTTCCTCCTGATGAAGGTAGTGTATTCCATTTACGCTTTTATCCTCATGTTTGGCTTTGTTCTTTTTTTAAAGGCTGTCTGATAAAGTTGATTCTGATAAACTGTACAAGTATTTTCTGGGCATAGCTTGTGGGCTAAGATGTGTGGGAGTATAGGAAACGCCTGAAAGAGCTGTCTGTGGTGTTGTGTTACCTCACAACAGTAGGAGGTCAGAGAGTCAGGCACCTGCACGCATCACTAGGCACTCTTGTTCCCTGACCCTTTCCTTCCTTTGCTCGTTACTGGTTTCCTGTTAGAGCTGCACTCTGCGGATGGAACAGTGTGTCGGTTTTCGGCTGCCTCACTGCAGAGTCCAGCAGCTCAGCCGAAACAGCTGGCATGAGAGTTAAGATGCTGTTTCAAACAACAGAGCGTGCTGCTCTTGCTCGTTACTGCCCCATCTAAGGGAGGGCAGGCAGAAGAGGAGGGGATGGAGTAGTTTGATCTCCTACAACAAGATTGGCTAGAATATAGTCTCTCAAGAGCTCCAGTGCTGCAGGATGTTGTGGTTAAAAATAAATGTGGCGGGAATTGCAAGAGCTCAGAACACATAAGATAAATTATTTTTAGCAGTGCTGCTCTATAGTTGAGGGGAAGAGTTGAGTTTATAATCTTAAGCATTTTTTTACTTTATTTTGCAAGCAAAATAATTACGCAGAATTGTATTTCCTACAATGACAGTAATTTTTTTTTAATTTTTTTTTACTTTCCTTTCAAAGTGAGACCTCCGGGGGAAGAAAAAAAACAAACCACCTGAGATGATGGATTAATTACAACTCAAAAATCTAATACAGAATGTAAATATCTCTGTTTTAGAGCTTTTCCAAAGCTGCTTGGGTCTGCAAACTTACTAACCTGAAATGTTCTAAAGTGTTTTAGACTTAAAACAGCAGTGGGTTGGTTGAGCGCTTTCACAGGATTGCCTATCTTCCCAAGTCAAAAGATAACAGTTCCTACAGTTGCTTTTAGGAGCTCTGTTTTCATAATTGCATGTGACCTACAGAGCTTTGGGAAAATGGTGGTTTTAGCTTATGAAAGAATTTTAATTGATGGAAAACATAGGCAATTAATTAATTCTAAAAATGAAGATTTGGAAACTATTTCTGGAATGATCCACAATCCTTATGAGAATGTATATAACAAAGAAATGCACTTTTCAGTTCTGAGGCTGCACTACTACTAAGCAGGATTGTCAAATACAAGTGTAACAAACCTGGTGTATCAGAAGCCTTCACTGTCAGAAACAAGATGTAAATATCATGAGAGTTATGCCTTACACTGTGTAGATGCTGTTTGCATTGTTTGCATCCAGCTCTGCGTGAACTATGGTATCAACACTGAAGTTAAATAATTGGGCTTTTTTGTATATATCTGTATCATGTCTAAGTAGTTACTAATGTAGATTTATTGAGATGGTTTGCATTTCTGCCTTTGTACAGCAAAGAAATAAAATAAGCTTATAAAAATATGAAATACTCTAATCGGTCAGTCTAATGAAACATGTCGAGTTGTCTTTGTTGGCATTCACTGAGTAACTACAAACACTAAAACTGATGTGAAAATTAAGTGGTATACGTGGTGCTAGCAGCTACGGTAGATCTGATTCTTGTGATGCCACAATACTGTAGCAATTTTCAGAAGAAACATGATGGTCAATAACTATTGAAATTGGTCCCTTCCAGTTTCTAGAGTTTATGTACAGCATAGCTTTAGCCTAGTACCATGATCTCTTTGTGGCTTTAGCTTGCAGATATAAGTAAAATACTTTAGAACTACATCTGTATTCATCTTTAGTATCTGTAAAATGAAGCTTCAGAATTTTGATACTGGGTTTTCTAAGTGAATTAACGGTCACTGTACCAATGCTGTACTTAGGCTCATGTCACTCCAGTACTGAAAAGTGTACTTCATAATTTTCTGTGGGGGGAGGGGTGAGTTGATTGGTTGTTAGGTTGGACTCCAAGTCCTCATTTTCCCAATCACACAGTATCAGCAACTATCCATCTACTCACAAGCGAGAACAACAAAGCTAATAAAGCCCTGAATATTTTAATTAGCAGCTCTACAGCTATTTTAGAGAGATGCCGTGAAATTAAATAACCTATATTCTACTAATAAATATAAATAATGTAGGGCAGTTGACACAGAAGAGCTTAAATACACCGAAATACAAATTGAGACTTAACCCAGTTTTCTAGAAGGTTCACTAGTTCCACAAAATGCGTAGTCTTATACTATGCAAATTGGGAAATACACTGAGCGCAAGCTCATGTCAGTAATCTTGACTGCTTGTGCATGTGCTGCCAACTTCCAGCTCCAGAATATAGGACTTCAGTGTTGGATACTATTTTTCTGCATCTCTGTAAAATGCAAACTGAGCTGTTAGAATAATAAAAGCAAAGTGAAAGCACATTTCGTACGTAGTTCGCAGTAAAAATGGGGAAAGTGCTCTTCCAATGAAGCTGCTAAAATTAAGAAATCATCTTTTTGCACAGAAAGGTTGTCCTTCAGTGGAGGGCTTCCTTCCAGATGGCAAGCTTGCTATTTGATTTTTGTACATTGCTGTTCTGTTTTGGTGGGTAGAGAGGTCTATGTCTGAGAGAAGTATTGATCCCCCCACACATGGGTTCAACAACTTGGGATGATGCTTGCTGTGAAAGGTGTGAAAATTTCCGGAATGATACACGTTAGGGTGGGATTTTGTTACATGATGATGCGACACATTGAACTGTGGAGTAAGGAAGTGTACTTTTACAAAATAACTATCTTATAAATGTTAAAGAAGTCTGTCTTGCAAAGCAGAACATACTTTATTTAATTGAAACATTAGGATTTTTCATTTTGAACAAATCTCTAGTGATTCTGTTTTTCCTCCTGCCTTTGTGCAGGTTTTCTAGCTGTAGAATTCATTTTTAACTGCTAGCTACACAAGTATCACAGTGAAATGGGAGAAGCTGTAATATGACAGTTAATCTATAATTATTTTCTGAAATACATTTATTGTTTTAATAGTGCACCTTCAGTGGAACAAATGGACTTCTGAGGATTAAACCACTTTGTTGTTACTACTTGGATACTTGCAGTATTATCCACTTGCGATACTGGAAAACAAGGTGCTGTATAAGCGCAGTACACTCACTAGCTGAAAAGATCAGACTCCGACTTGCGGAAAAGTTCCCGAGTGATGCTGAACTTGAATACAAGTTACTAGCTCACTTAAAAAGTAAATGTGATTGGACCTTACTCTGAATTTGTATAATCTTGAATTTTTTCTGAAAGGTTATTAAGATTAAAGTATTTTTGTTGAGTCCATATCTGTCCATTTTCAACATACCTGTATGTGTAAGCACTTCCCTTGGCTATTTGAGGACTCTGCCTGTAATAAATTAAAAAGCTCTAATAACGTTTTTGTCTTTCCTTCAGTAAGAATGGCTGAGCATCCAAATGCATTAATCAGCAATAGCAACAGCCAGGATCCCTAATCACAAAATGGCCTGGGTTTGCTGACTCTGGAACCGGAACAAACACTGCCGTCGCCAGTTCAGCCCTTATTTGGTATGGGAAATGACTTGTCAGAGTTTTCAGATGTGAATTGCAGTTTTTAAATCATGTGATTTATAAAGAAGAGAGAAGATTGGTTTAAATTATTATCTTTTGGAAAACACTTAAAAGACAGAAAATTCCTTCATTTTGATTAACCTTTTTGTTGTGTGTGAAGAGCCTCGTTTTAAGCATAATTAAATTATGATTTCAAAAGTCATTTCAGCCCTTGTAATTCTCAATGGTGAGGTTAGCCTGCTTGCTAGAGCATCGCCTGGTGCTGAGCAGCTGGAGTTGAGGGCGAGCTTTAAACCCTTGCGTGTTCTACGATCTTGGTGTGTAGGCTGGTGCTAGCACCGTGCTGGGACTTAAGTGTGTTTATCCGGAGCAGGAATCTGCTGGTTTTGGTTCCGCTTCTGATCTGCCGACGGTAATTGGTGAGAAGCGTGCAGAGGCTAAAGGCACATAAATTATACTTGGTTGCGTGCAGTTTGTATAAGTCTACGGGAGGCTTCTCCCATAGATGTTTACTGAAGGATTGGGATACTCATTTGTGAAAAATGGTCTGTGTTTGGAAGGAAATCTTTCTTGATGCTTAGAGAGAAAGAGAAGCTGGGTTCTGTCTATGTATCTCATCCCTCCCTTACATCCCTCTCTTCTATCTCTCTGCGCTCCCTGAGGGCTGTGCTCACGGGAGCTTCTCACGAGGTGATCCAAGAGTGACGTAGTGATGGTAAGCTCACATGGAGTGAGTGATGGGGCTAAAGGAGATGATCCTAGAAGTTGCAACAGCAAATTCAAAAGATGCAAGCTCGGGACATTGTTAGCCTTTTATGGACTTTTATTAGGCCTTTCATATTTTCCTTCTTCAAAAGGAAAACTTGGCACTTCAGATGAAAACTTCAGGAATCTAAAAATCTGCAAGAAACTATTCAAGTTCCTGAAACAGTTTTGCTTTCAGTCTTCTGTAGATTCTAATGCAAATCCTGCACGGAACTGCTTTCAGATAATGCCATATTCTTTACCAGACAAACAACTTTGGTGTTGCAGCTGTCATTTTCTAAGAAACTTTTTCTTTTTTTTTTTTTTTTTTCCCATCTATAACCATAATTGTCACAAGCAGGTTATGGCAGTAGTTGTTGCTTCTCTAACATGCAGACGAAGCGCACATCATGAAAAATGAAACAAAAATTGATGAAGTTTTTCTTGCAAATTAGGAAGGTGTCAGATCAGATACAAAGTTTCAGCAAGCTCAGAAAGGGAAAACCTGTTTTTATATATATTTTAATTACAAGGCACACAAATTGTTAAAGAGGCTTGCTGGCTTCTAAACCTAGGATGACATTTGTGTGCACAAACTGTGACCTCAACATTAAAAGAGTTCATTTCCAAATGTAAAAATAAAAGTTATCTGTCAGAAGAAAAGTTCAAAGTCCAGTAAAAACATTTCAGAATTTATTTGGATAATAAAGTTTTAACGGGGACTGTAAATTAGAGATGGGCCCACACCTTTAAGCACAACTTAAGAAGCAAATACCTGTGAACTGGAAGAGTAAAACAAGGTCAACAGGCCCCATGTTTATGATACTCGTCATTAATGGCAAAGGTTGAAGCTAGACACAGACTTTTCTACAGACTGAGATTTCTGGCTGAGATTTAGTCTGACCAAAATATTTGAGAGACAGCTGGGATCCAGCAGAAGGATTCTGGATCTGGAAACATCAGCAAAGGGGGAAATTCCCTCTGTTATTCACAGCAGTAGCTGTTTGTAGGCAGTTACCTACCTCTCTATTTTCTTTGCAAGCAGGCAACAAGAAGTTCTTGAACATGGGTACCTGTATCCGACTAAATCTTGCAAGTGGTAAAATTTTAGCATGGCGTCAAATGAGGGACAGCTTTAACATGATTTTGAAAAGGAAGACGTGCAGTCAGTACCTCTAATGCCAGCATTGGTGAGACCCATCTTTCTGCAGACCATGATGAGACTGTCTTCTGACATACTCACCTGTGAGGTTGTTCTCTGCCTGTGTTCTTCAGAAGTGTCCAGAAAATAAACTGTGTGTAGAATGAGTGAATGAACTGTTTTCCCCTGGTGAGACTCATGAATATTTAGACCATTTCCTCCTGACCATACAGCGGCTGTGAAAGTACTCTGAGTAATGCTGAGTACACTCTGCTATTACCTGGGCACTTAAGGATTGAACCAAACTTCCCAGTAGTTATTTGTGATCATAAAACTTCCTCCTTATGATCCCTAAAACACCTACAAAACCAGGGGACGA